AGAGGGAGACCCAGAATCGGAAGCAGGCTCCAGGCTCCGAGCCGTCAGCACAGAGCCCGACGCGGGGCTCGAACCCACGAACCGCGAGATCATGACCTGAGCCGAAGTCGGACGCTCCACCGACGGAGCCACCCAGGGGCCCCAAAAGCCAAGACGTTTTTAAAGTGGGGCCACAGGACAGGCAAAAACTTGTTGCGGTGGGAACGCGGGCGCCGTGGAAACCAGCACGGCTGTTCCTTGACAAGTTAAACAAGAAATCCTCCCTGATCCCGTGATCCCAGTGCCAGGCTCGCGCCCGAGAGAACCGCAAGCAGGTGCCTGAACGAAAACAAAAACCATTCACGACAACCAAAAGGTGGAAAAAACTCAAATGTCCATCGACAGATGCATGGATGAATACAGTGCGGTCCGACCATACAGGTGGATAGCATCCAGGCATCAATAGGAATGACAGACTGAGGGACACATAAATCTCAACGGTCTAAGAGCCGGGCGCACAGGACATGTTGCAGGATTCCACTTACAGGAAACTTTCCAGGACAGGCAAACCTAGAGACAGCCTAGTGGGAGCCGGGGGGCTGGGGCGTAAAACGGGTTATGATGCTCACAGGCACGGGGCTTTGCTGACGCAAAGTTCTGGAACTAGACTGTGGTGGAGGCTGTGCTAAGAGAATGTACTCGATGCCACACAACTGCACACTTCCAAGTGGTTACAACGGTCATGTTTACGTTCCATATACACTTTTATCACAACGTAAAACGCTAGTCACTTAACAGACCGTCGGACCAGATACTTGGGACGGATCTGTACGCATGTGAATTATGGCTCAACGAAGCTATCTAAGAAAAACGTCGTGAAGCCGTTTCTCTAACAAGGGTGGTACCTTTTAAAAGACACCTAATACGGGGGCAACCGGGTGGCTCAGTCGTTTGAGCATCTGACTTCGGCTCAGGTCACGATCTCAAGGTTTATGAGTTCGAGCCCCGCGTCGGGCTCTGTGCCGACAGCTCGGAGCCTGGAGCCTGCTTCACATTGTGTCTCCCTCTCTCCACCCCCGTCCTGCTCATGCTCTGTCTCTCTCTCCCAAAAACAAATAAACATTTAAAAAAGTAAAATTAAAAAAAAAAAAAAAAAGTAAAACACATAACACATGCTGATACATCAGAAAGGAAAAGATCTCCCACAACAGCCAGACAAGTCCGTGACCCAATGATGGTAAATTAACCCGGTCACAAAGCGGAATCCCAGGACACCTGCACCTCGGAGCGGGCGTCACAGCGAGCTGAAGCTACGCTTACCCTGTTCACAGTATCCTGGACCGCAGGGACCGGCAGGCGTGGCAGAGACGTCTGGAAGCTGTACAACATGGGCTTGCGGCCCGAAAAGATCTTGACCATGCCCTTAAAAACAAAAAAGGTACGTTTTAAAACGTGAGACTGCGTTAAAGATGTGAAACCGGTTCTCAAGCGTAGACGACTTGCCGACTGGTTGCGGATGTTCTGCGGTGGCCTGTGTCCCCTCTGGTCTGTTTTCCGCCCCCGGGCACACAAACAAGCAGGGAAGCCCAAACGAAACCCAGGCTGATGAAAGCCCAAGTCTGACACATGCCGCGAGGTGCCCGGGACAGGACCCCTTCTCGGGTGCCCAGATTCTGCTGTCTGACTGCACCACTGCATGCGGGCCCCGTGTCAGTCAGCTGGTTCTGCGAGGCCCTCGGGTTAGGGACTGGCTCAAAACTCTGGCAACGGTGACGAGGGGCTGGACCGAGAAGCCTGGGTTCGAGCCAACCCCAGGAGCAGCGGTGCGGCCCCCCCTCAGCCACCGCCAAGCCCAATGGACAGCACGCATCTATCTGCCTATCGGCCCTCGCTTTCATCTGGAATGATCTAACCTTGGTGTCGTAACTGGTCATCTCCTGTGGACCAGACCTCAAAGGCATTTCTAGGGCTCAAGGGTGGGGAGGGGGGGTGGCGGCTGGGACTCAACTGGACGTGACCAGAATGCCATCGTGGGAACACCATTTAGCTTTATTCTGTGAAGCGTGGGTGCCGTCTCTGACTCTCTTGTGGGTGTTAAATTCTGCTTCTCTGGAAAACTGAAATCTCACAGCCACGTGGGCACAGGAAGTCGGTCTGGAGGAGAGCGAAGCGTGTGGGTGCGGGTGGGCCCCGGGAGGTGGAGCTCAGCCGTCACGGGTGAAGTCGGACAAACGTCCACATGCACGGCAGACGAGGGGACGCTCAGACTACGGGCCCAGGAGAGCAGGCAAAACCCCCTCGGGGAGAAGGGTGAACCGGGGAGACCTGGTCAGACCGGTCGGCTAGGGGAACCACTCAGTCAGAAGACCTTTGAAAGCTGCAGAGGGATGTCACTTTACTTTGATGGATGGCGAGCCTAGCACACGCTAATATACCATGTTCAGGACTCCCGGACGCTTTACTCTTTGGCCACACGTTCAAGTCACGGGGAAGCAATGCCCCTGACAGCAAGGAGAGGCCAACTCCCAGGTCAACCAGCCGAGCGTGGAGGCGAGAGGTCC